TTTCAATGTTGTTATTGAAAATTTCGAGACTTAACTTCTTCTTTTGTTTGTGTCTATTGCCTTAGTTTGCAAGGAGGTTAGGTTGTTGAATAATAAACAATAAAATTTACAAAGAGAATGGAAACTTGAAGAAACAGAAATTGTTTGTTTAAAGGTTTTAAGATTTTACAAGACAAAGGTTGAAGAAGAGTGGCTAAGCTGTAATTTAGAATTTGGGTTTAAGACGCAGAAAGAATAGTTAAATTAGTGATGAAGAAAATTTTGGAATTGGGGGCATGTTTGAGGCTTATTAGGACCTGTCTTTAGCTTTAAGATGCTGTTGATGGAAGAATTCAAACTGCCTTCTATTAAAGTATTAGTTTGCATCAACATAATGATTAATGAGATATTCTTTTAGGTGTGTAGTGATGTATAAGTGTGGGCAAATTTTTGCTATTACTTCTAATTATCTCAGTTTACATTTGTCAATATAGGGGAGCTGTAATTCCTTTTATTTATGTTTTCTTGCATCCAAAAAATGAGTTTTAAACTTTTCACACGTGAAAACATTTTTCATTTTTTTATTTTAATTATGTTCGTAGATGATGTCTACTTTTTGTCGGGTACATGTTTCCAATAAGTGCGACAATGGTGGAGCTGAGAAAGTTTTTCTAACAAACAAAAAAGAAATACAAAATAGAGACGAAGAGAATCGTATGCAAAGCAAAAGGAATTAAAAGGAAAGAAGGAAAGACATATTGGTCGTCCTTCACGTGCATCACAATTACAAGGTCAATTACTCTTTATTTTTCATACATAAAAGTTGTTCATCTTTTTGAATATCTTCATGGTCGACAAATTTTGATTCTGGAAAATTTCTCAAGTTTTTGTTTTCATTTTTATGGATGTGGTCACCGGAAAACGTGTGAAAATGAATAATTTCTTTTTAAAACAATTTTATGCTTTTTTTTTAATCTAAGTTGTACCTTTTTATTTATATAAATAAATGAAACGTTATTATTCCCAAATTGTGTGTTTTTCGAAGCTAAATATTTTTTTTATTACAAATTGATCTTTATGGTGTATTTTTGTATATGTACTTGTAAATGAAGCTAATTAAAATCTATGTATTGTAGATTCACGCTTTGGTGACGATGTCTTGTATGGTACTGAGGCACTCGCTTCTTGCTCCATTGTCCTAGGTCTTGAATCTTGTACTGACACTACAAGTATATTTAACAATGAAAATGAACTTGAAAAACAGAGTGAACATATTTCACCCTTAAGGTTACCT